TATTCTTGTGACAATATGACACACGGGGGTGGGGGCAGCCGCCGCTCAACCGACATCCACGTGGGCGGCCTTGTATAAAGAGGAGGTTCTGAACAGGGGGAGTCTTGTAAGGAAGAAGAAGATTGAAAATGAATTGATATCTTTTTTGTTTCCTTTTGTTTTTTTCGCTTTTGCGCTCTGTAACTTTGTGACATTATATATATAAAAGGGGGAAAAAAAAATAAAAAGGGAAGAAGACAGGTCTTTGATGGATGACGTGGCATGATAGGCCATCGGCTGTATGACGGACGTAATTGCAGCCGATGAGGACGAGGAGCCAGAGGAGGGAGTAGAGAGGAGGAGGAGTAGAGAGGAGAAGGGAGGAGGAGGAAGAGGGAGAGGGAGGAGGAGGGAAATGAAGGAGGAGGAGGTAGAGGGAGGAGGAGAAGGAAGAGGTAGAAGGGGTTTAGGGTTCCCCTATTTGTCAGAAGGGGGAGGAGGAGGAGGAGGAGGCAGAAGCAGAACGAGGAGGAGGAGGACGGAGAAGCAGGAGGAGGGAGGAGGAACAGGAAGAAGGAGAGGGAAGACGAAGAAGACGGAGACGAAGGAGGAGGAAGAGGGCGAGGCGGGAGGAAGAAGATGAAGAGGGAGGAGGAGGATGAGGAGGAAGAGGAAGAAGGAGAGGCCCAGACGTTGAGCTGATTTGGCATGACTGCCTTCTTCACTCGAATACAACGTACGGTCATTATATCTGTATTTAGACTGAAAGATGCCCCAAATACATACAGCTATATGGGCCGTAGTACGTTGTATACGGGGCAATAAGGGTAGGATGGGCTCAGATGGTATTACACGCCCTAATGTGGTCCCCTGGGCACAACAACGCGCCCTCGTCATGCCTGACTGGGACCGGAAAGCTACCGTCTTCCCCCGAACACAACGCACCCTTATTTTGGCCGTATCTGGCCGGAAATATAGCTTGTATACATTCATTTTTAGGGTGCGTTATGTTCGGGGGAAGACGGTACCGGTAGGAATTTCCCCGAATACAACGTACGGTCATTATAGCTGTAGTTAGTCCGAAAGACAGCCCAAATACAGCTATAATGACCGTACGTTGTATTCGGGGGAAGAAGGGTAGCAATTTCCCCGTTTCGCCCGCTCGTCCTCTGATTTACCTCGATCCCCCGAACAC